ACAGCAATTCAAGGACCCAGACGCCCTCCATCTCATGACCTGTTGTTCCACTAGGTCCTTAGATGTTGTCTACTCACTTGGGAAATGTGGGAAAGACAAAATGTGGAGGAATGGCTACTTAGGAGATTTTATGGGCCAGATTTACAAGTGGCCCACATAATTTCCATTCACGTTCCATTGACCCAAACACATACTTATGACCACATCTAACTGCAAAGGAAGCTGTAAAATGTAATCAAGTTTTGTGTCTAGAAAGAAAAGAACATAGATAACAATCTGCTGCACGGATATTCTCAAACCAAAGCATTCTTTGGTTCTGCATTGAGTCCAGGACAGAGACTTTAACTTTGCTTATGGGAAGGAATTGGAACGAAGAATTTGATGGGTGGTGTGTTGCTAGGTAATAGAAGAAATTCCAGTCCTTGCCAGCATCTAGAATGGGCTCTGCAAAGGTTGATACTTGTTAATTTTTTGTTAATGAATGAATACCTATGGTCTTGCGTGTTCCCATACAGTATCCTTGTGCCTAAACTTGGCACTCAAACGTATATCCACAGACCTTACACTTTGTACAGAAATAAACTTGAAATAGATCTCAGACCTAAGTGTGAAATGCAAAACATAAAGCTCCTAGAAGATAACAAGTGGAAATCCGGGTGACCTTGAGTTTGGAAATGACTTTTTAGTTGTAACATCAAAAGCACAATTCATGAAATTAAAAAAATTAAGTGACTTCGCTATAATTAAAAACTTTTGCTCTAGAAAAAACATGGTTAAGAGAGTGAAAAAATAAGCCACAGACTTGGAGAAAATACTTGCAAAACACGTATCTGACAAAGGATTGGTATGCAAAATATACAAAGAACTCTTAAAACTTAACAATAAGAAAAAAAATTAAAAATGGGCATAAGATCTGAATAGAGACCTCACCAAAGAAGATATACAGATGGCAAATAAGCATACAAAAAGATGCTTGACATCATGTGTTATTAAGGAAATGCAAATTACAACAAATACCTACTAGAAACGGTTAAGATCCAAACAAAACAAAACAAAACAGACAATAGCAAATTGTCAGAGGATGTGGAGCAATAGGAGCTCTCATTCATTGCTGGTGGGAATGCAAAATGGTACAGCCATTTTGGAAGAAAGTTTGGCAGTTACTGACAAAGGTAAACGTAGTCTTATCATATGATTCATCAACCGCACTTCTTATTTACCAAAATGAGTTAAAAATTATGTCCACAGAAAGACCTTCAGTTTTATTCTTAATTGTTCCAACTGGAAGCAACCGAATTATCCTTCAAAAGGTAAATGGATAAACAAACTGTTGTGCATCCATGCAATACAATATTACTCATTGATTTAAAAGGTGTACTATCTAAGCCACAAAAAAGACATGATTGAACCTGAAATGCATATTATTTAGGGAAAGAAGCCAATCTGAAAAGTCTATGCACTGTAGAATTTGAAATATATGACTTTCTGGAAAACCTAAATCTAGAGAGAATAAAAAGATGAGTGATTGATCAGTGGTTGTGTTTTGCTGGTGGGGGTAGGAAGGAAAAAATAGGGTGCATAGGTGGAATGAAGGGGATGGTTAACCTAAGTCAATGGTCAATTCTTGGTCTTCATTTTTGACTAATCAACAGCATTTTTCAAAATACTCCTCCTTGAAATAGTTTCTATATTTGCTTCCAGCACAAAACAGTAATTGATCTTCTTTCTACAACTCTGGGTGCTGACTCTTAGTTACTTTTTCTAGTTTATTCCCCTCATCATGAACTTTTGAAGCTGATATTCACTAAGGTACTGTCTTTGAACTCCTTTATATCTATACTCAATCTCTTGGAGAACTCATTCATTTCTATGGTATCCAATATCATCAGTCTACTGATTACTCCCAAATTCATATTTTCAGGGTGATAATTCCTTGTACACTTTCCAGTCTATAGAAATCACTATTTAGCAATTTCACTTGGAAGTGTAATAACCATTCTAATTTTAACATGTTCAAAATTCATCTGCTGTTCCCCAATGTTTCTCAAACCTGTTCCACCTACATTCTTCCCCAGCTCAATTAACAACATTCCATCCTTGAATACAGTCAGGAAAAAAACTAAAAGAATCTTTAACTTTTCTCTTTTTCTCAGAGGTCATATATACATAATCAATAAATCATCTTGACCCTACCTTCAAAATACAACCAGCATCTGACTATGCATCGCTTTTATGCTAACATTCCAAGCTAAACCACCATAATCTCTAACCAGATTAACTGTAACAATATCTTTATTCTGCTCAGACTTCCCCATTACCTTTTTTTCCTGTCTTTAACACAGCAAATATTATAATCCTGTTAAAATAAAAATTTCTCGGTGTGCCTGGGAGGCTCAGTCAGTTGGGGCATCTGACTCTTGGTTTCAGTTTAGGTCCAGTGTCAGACCCTGTGCTGAGGGAAGAGTCTGCTTGAAATTCTCTCTCTGAACACCCCTCCTGCTCAAGCTCTCTCTCTCTAAAATAAATAAATAAAATCTTTTAAAAATATATCTCCTATAAGTTCTCTGCTAAAAATGTGCAATAGATTCCTATTTATCTAGAACAAATACCAAAATCGTTACCATGGCTCCCAAGATCCTGAAACTTTAATCCTCCTTTTATCCCCTAGTCTGTTACTACTATAACTGTAATCACTCTCCTCCAGTCAAACTGGCTTCTTTGCAGAAATTTCCAGTCATGTTCCTTCTTAGGCCATCATATTAAGAGGAATTCCCATTTTATACTTATCTGATCCTAATCCCAGACCTCACTGGGTCCAAAGCAGCTGTTCAGAACAATCTCCCTCTTGAAAACTTGGATAGTCTCCATCACATACATAGTCCAGGAGAAACAAGGTGGTACTATTTCAGGTTCCTTTTCTCTCTAAAATGCCACAATGTAATCTACTGTACAACTATTGAAAGTTGTTGTTTTCCAAAATTTTAGGAGAAAAGTGGAGCAGAAATCTCTCTGAGATTTCTAATTATCTCTATTCATACCCATCCTCTATCTCGCTCTCCCTTTCCTCTCCTTCTCTGTCATGGCCAAGAGGACTTTTTTAAACTTTCTGTAAGTAAGAGAACTGCCCTTGTATCTAGTGCTCTAAAGATTAGCATAAAAATTCTCTGGATTAAAAATTTCCTACTAGAGTAAAAAAATTCTGTGATGAGTCCTCTGAGTTCTGATTCTCAAAGGGAAGTTTATAAAAGTCATTTTATTTAATGGTTAACTTTTACAAACAGAAAGCACCTTGGTTTTATACCATATAGCCAGTTGAGACTGAAAACAATAAAAAACAAAACACTCAGTACTGTAATTGACACTGGCTTCTCCTTAGGGGAGGAAATAGCAAACAACTCCTAAATTAAAATATCCAGAAACTACCCCATTGCATTAGACCAAAAATGGACGCTTGGGAAACTTTTATAAGAAAGAGAAACATGGAGTGATGAATTTGAATCCATCTACATGTAAAAGTATGCTTTTCTTTTAGTGTAAATATTTATTCTTGGTCTTTCCTATGACACTTTCCAGTATGCTGTCTAATGTGTCAGAGCAGGGCTAACTATTTGACTCAGGACAACTTCCGCCCCCAAAAGCGAGATGCCTCCATTCCATTCCTTTCAGAATATTGATTCAACCAAATATCTGTTTCTTTAATTTGCAACTTGAAAAATTGAATCTTGGGGTGCCTGGGTGGCTCAGGTCATGATCCTGGAGTCCCAGGATCAAGCCCCATGTATGTCTGGTTCCCTGCTCAGTGGGGTGTCTGCTTATCCTTTGCCCTCTATCCCTCCCCCTGATCCTTCTCTCTCTGTCTCTCTCTCACTCTCTCAAATAAATAAATAAATAAATAAATAAATAAATAAATAAATGAATGAATCTCAAATTGGGTCTGAATTGTGGGACCTAGGTCACCTGCCTGCACTGCACTACAAAGAGGAAGGTAAGTTTGAAGCTGAAATTCGCTATAGTTAAAAGGTGATGATTTTCATAAGCTAGTAAGGGGAGAACAAGGCAAAATAATGACTATTGAAATTAAAATTTAATTGAGAAATTGTAAATTTCATATAGCATCATAGGATGTTATTGATTGATTAAAATCATCATGCAAATATATTTAAAAGAGGTTTGAAATGTAATCATGTTCTCTTTCTCATGAAAATTTTATCTTTTCAGCAGCTTTCCTTTAACGCTCAAACCAAATATTCAGTTCAGAAAAATCCACATTGTCCAATCTAACTATTTCTTTTTTTTCTTTCTTAATTGAGTTTTTATTGGTTGTTTTGAGGATCAGTACAGACATTTCAATTTGTACACAATTCTTAACGTATGTACCAAAAATCTAAAAAACTATGTAGTTGTGATTTTTTTTTTTTTAAGTTATTCCAGTGACCTTCCGGCTTAAAATTTGGAGGCAAATTTTCCTTAACAGTATATCAAGCACCAAGATTTTCAAATGCTGATACACTGTTACATTGTTAAGTCCCATTAATTCACAATTTAATATCATATACACTACATACTCAAATTCTCAATCTTGCATAGCACATTAACAGAGTTACTAGGAAAACTGGACTACCACCAGCAAGATGTTACAGAGTGCACAAGAATTCTGACTGGGAGAGCCAAGATCTAGAAATGGTTTTCTTTAGGAAACAACTCTACCAAAAACAACATGGGAATAGAAGTAATTTAAAATATTCAAGACATAGTAAATGCACGACTGACTCCAAATTGCCATTTAGTATGCTTGGTATTATAGGATATAAAAACTACCCCTTCTATGGAATACTGAGCTGACATCCAAGACAATCAAAGCCTCCCACATTCAATATCCCACTATTTCCTGGTTGTACCAAAAAAAAAAAAAATAACCAACCAGGAAATGATTTCACCTCTTAAAAAAAGCATTTACACCTAAAAAATGGGATGAGGTGGGATTCCCTCCTCTTAAAAATGTTTCTAGAGCTACTAAAAAACTTGCATTTACAAAATAGTTGATAAAAATATTCCTCTGGATTGCACAAGGAGGGCGACAGGGACCACTGATAAGATATGGTTTATGGTATTAATTAGACTTGGCTTCTTTCTCTCCTGCTTCATCGGAGGCTGGACTCTCCTTATTTTTAGTCTCTCCGTTTTCTGCAGGTAAGTCTTCTTTCGTTTCTTGGTTAGCCACTTTAGCCTGTTTTCCCTTTGCTCCCTTTTCCCCTTTGTTTGCACTTTTTTTGTCTGAAGACTTACCCTTTCCTGCCGCCTTTTTTGGCTTCCTTTCCACTTTTGCAGGAGCAGGTTTAGCTGACAACCTCGTGACCTCCTCTTGGGCTCCCTTCGCAGCCCCCTCGGCGGAGTTGACCTTCCTCGGGCATCGGGGTGGCGGCCCTGGCACGCGAGAGCCTTCGCGAAGCTGGGCTGCCTGGCCTCTGCAGATCCTCCTGCCTCCCGAGCTGCTGCGACCCCCTATTTCTTTTTGATGAATTTTAATTGAGGTCTAGGAAGAACTGTAATCGAACTAATGTAGCAGTTTGTGCTTTTACGTATACTATTGACTAACACGTTAATACATATAATTAAACAATTGAGATTATTAATTATAAGAAAAAATACCTTTAATCAGGATTGTAAAAGGAATTAATTATTGAAAATTACAAGGTAAGAGAATTAATTTCCCTAGAAATTATAAATATGAATGTACATTAATAATATTGAAAGAACTATGTTTAAAATCAATTTGCACATATGTGCTAGAGACTCCTAAGTTAATTTTCTGTCCTCTTCTGCATCAATTAATGATATTCCTCAGGGACAAGGCAAACATATTTTAAAATAAATATTGTTTATAAGACAACACTAAAGGCCCTAAAGTTTTCTTAGTTAAATAAAATAATATATACATTCAATTTCTTATAGATTTAATTATATTTTAATTATATGACATGGAAGGAAAAACAATATAATCAATTAAAAACTGAGAGAGGAATGATTAGGAGTGAAAGGTACAAGTTTTGGCCACAGATAATATAAAATAACTTTATATTTCTGATAAAAAAAATTAACACTTACTGCTAAATTCCTTTGATAAGGTCTTAATTGGCTTTGAAAATCCGTAAAAATCCTTATTCACTACTAGAAAATAATGCAGTATTTGTTATTAAGCCTGAGTAATTAATAGTAGACATTTTAAAGTCAACATTTTCCTAACAAGTAAGAAAAATGTACAACTTTTCAAAGGGCTATTATATTTGCAAATAAATATACATGTAACATGAAAGAATGTAAACTCTTGGGGCACCTGGGTGGCTCAGTTGGTTAAGCAGGAGACTCTTGGTTTTGGTTCAGGTCGTGATCTCAGGGTCCTGATATCAAACCCCTTGTCAGGCTCTGTGCTCAGCATGGAGTCAGCTTGTATCTCTCCCTCGCCTTCTGCCCCTCCCTCCACTCCCTTGTACTCTCTCTCTCAAATAAATAAATAAATAAAATGTAAACTCTTAATATATTCATATTGCTGCATATCCCACACATGGATACTAGCAGGTTTTAATACATTTTGATGATTTCATTATTAACATATATTTACTTATTTATTAATTAATTTAGTTTTTTTTTTTAAGATATTATTTATTTATTTGACAGAGAGAGACACAGCGAGAGAGGGAACACAAGCAGGGGGAGTGGGAGAGGAAGAAGCAGGCTTCCTGCTGATCAGGGAGCCTGATGCGGGGCTCCATCCCAGGACGCTGGGATCATGACCTGAGCCGAAAGCAGACACTTAACGATTGAGCCACCCAGGTGCCCCAATTTATTTAGTTTTTTAAGAGAGAGGGAGAGAGAAGAGGGCAGGGAGGGGCAGAGGGAGAGGGAGAGTCTTAAGTTCCAGCACTGAGCCCAACGCAGGGCTTGATCTCACAACCCTGAGGCAAAATCAAGAGCCGGACACTTAACCAACTGAGCCACCCAAGTGTCCCAACATATGTTTATATAAACTAGTTCTTAGTAAATATTCTCATTAATAAATTCTGTCTAATATATAAATAGCTGGTTTATTTATAATAATGTATATAATTTATTGTTGCATTAGAATTCAGAAAACTGTATTTATAAGTAAAATGATTTGTTTAATACAATCATTTTTATTCTATGCATTCACACAAAATTCTTCAAATATTATCATGATATTGCAGTATAACTAGTGATCTTGGTAGCTCTCCATCATTCAGAGTTGGAATATGCCAGTCTTATCATCTTTTCCCAGAACTACAGGGAGTACTAAATCAGTAAAAGGCCAATAGCATTTTAGTCTTCTTAGGCTCCATAAAAAAAAATACCATAAACTGGGATGCTTAAAAAACGGAAATTTGTTTTTCACAGTTCTGGAAGCTGAGAAGTCCAAGATCAAAGTATCACCATGTTTAATTTCTCCAGAGAGCTCTCTTCCTGCCTTCTCACTGTGTTCTCACATTGTGAAGAGAAAACTTTGGTTTCTTCCTCTTTTGATAAGGGCACCCAAGGCACTACCCCTATGTCCTCATTAACCTAAACTACTTCCTTAAAGGCCCTATGTCCAGTGCAGTTACTTGGAAGTGAGGGGTTGTTAGGGCTCCAATATCTGAATTTGGGGGGACCCAATTCGGCCTATAGCAGATAGACTGTGCCAAAAAAATGATAATTTAACTCAACACTAATTCACCTTTAAAATCAGAGAGAGTCGGGCGCCTGGGTGGCTCAGTCGTTAAGCGTCTGCCTTCGGCTCAGGTCATGATCCCAGGGTCCTGGGATCGAGTCCCACATTGGGCTCCCTGCTCTGCAGGAAGTCTGCTTCTCCCTCTCCCACTCCCCCTGCTTGTGTTCCTGCTCTCGCTATGTCTCTCTCTGTCAAAAAAATAAATAAAATCTTTAAAAATAAATAAATAAATAAAAAATAAAATAAAATAAAATCAGAGAGAGTCTTTATTTTTAACCATCAGTCTAAACCATCAATAATTCACCCCTTTCTCCCTGCCTTATTAGAAATGATAATGCTCAGGGCGCCTGGGTGCCTCAGATGGTTAAGCATCTGCCTTCGGCTAGGGTCATGATCCCAGGGTTCTGGGATCGAGTCCCGCGTCGGGCTCCCTGCTAGGCGGGGAGCCTGCTTCTCCCTCTGCCTCTGCCTCTCTCTTTTTCTCTCTGACTTTCATGAATAAATAAATAAAACATTTAAAAAAAAAAAAGAAGTGATAATGCTCAGAAGCAGAGTATCATTTAAAAGAGAGGACTTGTGAGATTAACCTCTTGTTATGTATAATTCTTTACTATACTCCAGCATGAAAGCAATCACAAAAGGGTAAACTCGGGATATTAAGTCAATGGAACACACAAGGATGTATCGGTATAAAAATTAAGGAAAGTCACAATGAAACCTTTCTGAGACATTTTCGGCCATAGAGGAATAAATACATAGCTGAACTTCTAAATGGAAGTATTTTCATTTTCTCAACTATATTGTCTCCTTAAGAGATTTCTTAAAATCTATTACATAGTATAATGCATGGACTGGATTGGACATTTGTCATAATATTGCTTGCTCATTGTCTGAAAGCCATTCCTATGAGTGAAGAATTCTCCACTGAATGAGACCAGTTGGGACACAGAGAAGCTTACAAAGATGCACTTTTCCATCACAAGCTTATGTTCTGGGTTAGATAATCAGGGGCACATGCCTAGCAATTTAAATCTCCTACTAGGAGGACAAATCATCACACCAGTAAAAGGGTGATTTTCATGTTAGCAGTAGGCACAACAGCAGCAAGATCCAATACCCTGTGGCATAAAGGGGTAGGAGGTGTAGGAGATAAGGGGGTATAAATGTTGGCACCTGATGGACTTGGTGGTATGATTTTTGCTTGGATCTGGCTACCTTGCATTCTTTGCTCTTGATTGCTTTCTGAGCCCGGATTTTGTGATCATATTAGAAAACCCTTGAGCTAATAAAAATCCTTCCAATAAACACACACTTCTGCTTAAATGATCCACTGTTGTCTCTATTTTATGGGAAACCTATTTGCAAATAAATAGAACATGTATGCTACCATTCCAGACTTCTCTGCAGGGCTTCTGATTGATGTGTACAACTGATCATAAAATATCTCCTATTAGAAGAATGTCACAAAGCATTCCAGATCAATAAACTCAAAACTGAACTCACCATCTTTTTCCTCAAACCCTACTCTTTCTCCACTTGTCCCAATCTCAGGGAATGGTATCGCCATCCAGTCAACTGTGTAAGTCATTCTTTTTTTTTTTTTTTTTTTAAGATTTTATTTATTTATTTGACAGAGAGATAGAGAGCACAAGGAGGCAGAGAGGCAGGCAGAGGGAGAGGGAGAAGCAGTCTCCCTGCTGAACAGGGAGCCCGATGTGGGACTCGATCCCAGGACCCTGGGATCATGACCTGAGCCAAAGGCAGCCACTTAACCAACAGAGCTACCCAGGTGCCCCGTGTAAGTCATTCTTGAATTGCTTTCTTACATTTCCTCCATTATCAATCATCAGCAAGTACATGCAACACAGTAAATAACTTTATTCTCATCAATTTTCTTTGACTGTACCACCATAACCTTTGCCCAAGAATTCATTATTTCTCATTTGGACTACTGAAAGCGCCTCCTAACTGGATCTACTCTGAATTCTCTACAACATAGAGATATTTTTTCAAAGCTCATATAATTGTATCATTCCCCCAGTTATGATTCTCTGCCCTTAAAAATGGTCTTAGGATCAATTAACAATTCCCCAGTTTGGTTTATAAGCCACATGACCTGGCCCCAAACAAATTCTCCAACTGCAGGTTGTACGAAACTTGTTTACCCTCTTTGATCAAAACACTACTTTACTTCATTCTTTTATCTGTCATGCTCCCTCTTGCTTATGTCCTTTACACTTGCTGTTTGCCTACCTGCGATAAGATTCCTTTTCATCTATTCTTGCTCGTTTTCTACTCAATTGTCATATCACAAATTAGGTGCTATTCTCTGGTGGGCCTTTGACAACTTTGACTAAGCAAAATCCCTACTATAGGCTAACTTTGGTAGCTACGTAGTCATGTTGCAGATAGCAATCACTAATTATTGTGTAAGAAAATAAGTTAGGTTTTCAACTCCATGTAAACCTGTAACTGAGTTAGCTTCCCTTAGATGATGATATTCTAACAGTAGACCAGTGTACCCATGGTAAAGCATATCACCAAATAATCTTGTCAGCTTCTTTCCTTATTCTTTTATGAAAATAGTTTGGTATGAAATAAGAATTAAATGCCTTGCAAATATCTATAAATATTGAGAAGAAAAGGAATAGTAAGATGCAATATAATATGGCTGTTTTGGTAATTCTAAGTGACCAAAGTAACCTAAAACAAAACAACGACAACAACTACAACAACAAAAAACTCCTGTTTTTCTCAAAGAACATAACACAGCTTATTCTCTCTCTTTTTTTTTTTAAGATTTTATTTTTTATTTGACAGAGAGAGAGATAGCAAGAGCAGGAACACAAGCAAAGGGAGTGGGAGAGGGAGAAGCAGGCTTCCCACCGAGCAGGGAGCCCGATGTGGGACTCGATCCCAGGACCCTGGGATCATGACCTGAGCCGAAGGCAGATGCTTAACGACTGAGCCACCCAGGCGCCCAACACAGCTTATTCTTAAACTTGACTGTGGAATCAATTGTACCACAAACAAGAGCAAATTGTCAAGTGCACAAATGCAGGAGTGTTGGAAGTGTGATCACTGGGAAACTCACAGAGGTAGGAGTGGTAGCAGGGATGTGGGTTCCCGGTATCCTGGTACATACCCAGAAGTCTAGCAGGGCACGATGTCACACTCCAGGAAAGGGATGCTGATCCTTAGGCCACATGCTCTCAAGCTGCATGAATGATAAAGTAGCACCCTCATAGTGGGATCAGGGTCAAGATTAAATAACAATGCAACAGGGCAGAATTTTAGCTCCAGTCCTATCCTGCCAGTCCAGTATTTGTGGATGCAAAAGCACAAGCCTTTCATTGGCAGGATCAGAGGTCCAGGCCCAAGTCTCGTTCTAGACCAGAAGTGATTGCCTAACCACTAGCCTTTGACAGCTTTCTATGGTGTTCTGCCTGAGCCAGCTTCTTTTCTGGTAGGTCAGCTTCTAGGAGATCAGATTTGGTCAAGTAAACATTAACGTTTCACTGAACTAATTAAAATGAGGAAGTTTGAAGTAATTCTAATTACTGTAGTAATCCCTAAGTATTTTCAATATTTTTTGTAATGTTCATGGGTCTGATGTAGCAATATTTTCACTCAGGCTCCTTATATTTCCCCCTCCATCATCCTCATAGTTTCCTGTATTTCCTTTCCTGTTAATATATATCCTTGTGTAAAAGATCTGGGGTAGAATACTGTTGAAATTCCTCACCAATCTGTTTTTCAAAGGGATTTTTCCCTTATTTGTTTTCTTTAGAATCAGGCATTTTGAATATATAAATTATGTGTCTTCACATCTGCCCTGGGGACATGAAGATTGTGTTACCATTTGTCTAAAGAAATATGCATATTCCCCTCTGGACTACAGGTTTTTTGTTTGTTTGTTTGTTTGTTTGTTTTGGACTACAGGTTTTTGAAAATATATAATGCTGCAAACTTTTAAAAGCAAATTCATACCCTAGTTATAGATATTTACATATCATATATTTTTTTCAATAATGTATTATTTACATTTTTCTCCCAAGTAATATGAAATACTTAAAGGCATAAATCTCAACTTTTGGTGCATAACACTACATTCCCATTAAATTGCAAGTGGAAAATACCATAAAAATGTAAAATTCTCAATTGTACATGATCAAATTTGGAAATAATCTTAATTAAAGATTTCTGTCATGGTTTTGAATTTTGACTTCAAATTTTCAATTACTATTATTACTATTCAAATTTTTCTTGGAAGCTAGCTGTCATTTTAAACTGAGAAGGAAGCAAAATTAAAATTATTTTTCATACAGATTCTGAGTGAATTATCTTTTAAAAAGATTTTAAGTGAGAAAATATGAAAATGTCAAATCCTTCTGATATTTATCAAAATCATTTAATGATCAAGAATAATATAATTCATAATAGAAAATGGAAAGCTGAAAATGTTATATAAACTGAAAATTCTTTTATATATATTTATAAATATATGTATATTTATAGATAACATTTGCATATGATCATACATAACTATATAAAACACTATATTATATATAATGTTTATATCAAATTAAAAATTACCTTTTAGAACTATGTAAAATTAAAAACATGCTTCATGATAGGTTGAGCAATATGCCAATATATAAAAACAAAAAAGTTAGAGACCATATGTGTGATGATTAAAATCTGAATAAACATTGTCTTGATAATTTTTTATTAAATATTAAAAATGAATACAGAAAATTTTCAAGTAAAAATATCCATTTATTAATTTTTATGGATATCAGGATTTCTGCATGTAAAATTTATATTGCTTTATCTTTTCAAATATCTTTGTGTGATGCTGACATTTTGGACAAGTTTTAATGAAAAAAAATAGAATTTCAGAAGTACACTTGTAAGGCATATAGTCAAACTCTGCAGAGATAATTTGTGATACAATTTATAGAAGAGTGATAAAAATGCCTGGAACTTTGTGTATTTCATTATTAACCTTGATAAATCATGAGCTCCAAAAACTATTCCTGTATAGTCCAAAGGAAGGAGTGGTGAATACTACTTTGAGTTGGAGGGAAATATGATATGTGGAAACTCTTGAACACAGAAGAAGGAGGAAAAAGCCCAAACATTAGAATAAGAAAATTATTATTATTTTTTAAAGATTTTGTTATTTATCTGTCAGAGAGAGAGAGACAGAGAGAAAGCACAAGCAGGGGGAGCGGCAGAGGAAGAGGGAGAAGCAGGCTCCCCGCTGAGCAAGAAACCTGATGCAGGACTCAATCGCAGGACCCTGGATCGTGACCTGAGCCGAAAGCAGCCGCTTAACTGACTAAGCCATCCAAGCATCCCTAGAATAAGAAAATTATTAAAGTAAATAAAACAGGCAATGAGAGATATGGTTATTCAAAACCACCTAACTCTGGGACTAACTCCTGCTCAAGTAGGAAAACCTGCTCTGTACTAGGAGAAAGCTGAAAACAGAGGCTGTTTTTCCTCCCTTCCTTCCTTCACGTCTTCCTTCCTTCCTTTATTCCCTCCTTCTCTCTTTCTTCCTCCCTTCCTCTTTTTTTTATTTTTCTTTCCTTCTTTCCTTTTTTTTTCTTTCTTTTTTACTTTTTTTTCATATTTAGATTCAGAAAGAGAGCTGGCTTTCAAAAGATGCAATTGTCACTAACATTGTAGTACAGAACAAAATTGATGATTGCATATGGTTCCCAAGATAAAAGGTCCCCCCAAGGTTCCAGCATGCCATTTGAAGTGACAGGTGTATAGCTATTAAAGCCAATTAGTGGACACATCAGATGGTTCAGTGTGATGAGGAAAAACACACTCATAGAAAACTACTGAAGGGCTGAATGACCACGTCAAGAACTGAGTAAGAGTCACAGGGATTCCTCAGGGGGAAATAACCTGTGATTCCTTACTCATGAATCCTGACTATGGAAGAAACAGTACGAAATATTGGAAACTGATTCAGAGCATATGAAGCCTTCTGGAGAACTTGGCTTCAAATCTGCAAGTCACTGTCACCCAACTGGTGCTATAATTGAGTCTTCAAAAGGCTATTCTAGCATTCTAGCAAACCATCTGCTTAAGAATGCTGGAGAGCATGGTAAGACCATTGAATTCCATGAGACTCACTTTATTTGCTGTGAAATAATGATGAGAAGAAATGCTGTGTGGAACACCATGATGGTGGATGAGGAATTCTGTAAGTCCTTGGATGATATTTTAGGCAGAAACATTTGGTGCAGGGAAGGCAAATCTATATTCAGACTGTCTACTTGAATAAGATCAAAATACGGATTCCCCTTCTAATATGGAAGGAGTCCAATTCAATCAACATGCTACCAGGTAGCTGGCTGATTAACCTGGGGAATGGTGCCATATGTGAAACTCAGTGCTGGTATCTGGTGCTTGTGTACTGAACATTCAGGGGTAGCCATTGTCAGATTGGCTTTGGTGAGTGGAAGTCACATTGCTGAGCCTAGGCATAACCTTCATCCCTGCCAACATGGCCACCGGGCATTACAGGGGGCAGCTGGGGAAAGA